AAAAACCATCTGAAAAGGTATGATATCACAAAATCGGGAAACATTTTGTGTTTTGAAACAAAGCCTTATAAGTGTATTCATACTAGGGTGATCAATTATTCGACATTTTCCAAAAAACCGGTTTGTGAATAGTTGACATTTGAAGAAAACCAGTTGATATTTTGCAAATTCAGAAAAAACCGGTTAACCCTTTAATCAAAGGTGCTTTAGAAAAATATGCTCTAGTTCCTTGACTCCAATATTTTTAAAATTCAAAATTTAATTTATGTAATCCTTGAATACTAAGCAAATAAGAGTATTCGAAACCGGTTTTTAACAAGTAAAAAAACATTTAGAAAAAGCCGACGCTGGTAAAGCAGAAAAACCGGTTTTAAAACCGGTTGAAAAATCGAGTCGATCACCCTAATTCACACGCATAAGTAGTAAAAATATTTCAAATTCTTTCTTAGAATTTTAAGTACGCGAACAAATACTAAATAAAGCTATAAAATCTATTTTATCTTAACAAATATTTGTATATATCTATCATACATGGGCACACTGCATTATATTTCTAATGCATTAAGCATTGCAGTATTCAGTAAATTTTTACTGGTAATGAAATTTAGATTTCATTACCAGTAAAATTTTACTGATTACTGAAAAAAAATCATTATTCAGTAAAATTTTACTGATTACTGAAAAAAAATCAGTATTCAGTAAAAAATTATTGATTACTGAAAAAAAAATCAGTATTCAGTAATTTTTACTGATTAATGAAAAAAAATGCAGTATTCAGTAAATTTTTACTGAATACTGAAAAAATCAGTATCAGTAAATTGAAATCTATTATGCATTGCCGGTAAAACTTTATTAACTACATGTTAGTATTTTCGAAAGTAATTTTGCAAATTTTTATTTTAAGCTCTCTTACTAGGAAAGTAAATGAACAGACCTGAAAAAATATTTTGTTTTTATTTATTGTTCAAAAAATATCTTTTGATAAAAAAAGTTATTTTTTTTTTGTTTTCAAATACATAAATTTTTAGTTTCCACTGTTAGCTTTTCTTAACACCAACATTTCAAAATTTGCGTCGCTGAGTTTTTGTCTTCTTGAACGATTTACAATTCCGGCGAATGAAAATAATCGCTCTACAGGGGCGGACGAGGGCAACGGGGTATTATATTTTAGGAATACATTTTTAATTGCAGTGTGAGTTTTGAAACAGTTTGTAGTCGTGTCTCGTTCGGCCAGGTATAATATTGTTTCTTGTAGATAATTTCCCGAGTCATTAGAAACACTCTGTACACTAACATCTATTTGAAAGAAGTAAATAGATTTCAAAATACATTAACACAAATATTTAACTGAAAAGTAATTATACAAACTTTACCATCGCTTTCTTCTCCAAAATCTAGAAATAAACTTTTCGGTTTCTGTGGTAAAATGCGAGTTTCAGCATCGGCTGAATCAAAAAATATTTTTCAAATCTTTTGAGTAAAGCCTCTTGCATTTTAGCGGATACTTCGCCTAAAAACTTGAAGTTTGCCAAACGCATAAGTTTAATTCTAAGTAATACTATAGCTGGCACGAAGTAACCAAAGTACATTGTATTTTCTCCCTGAAGGAAATCCACCGCTTCTGCTACAGGCCCCATTAGTTTTATATATTCCTCCAAGTATTCTAGCTCATCAGAAAGAATGGGTTCCCTTAAACCTTCGGCAAGCCAGTGCCACAGATTTTCTTTCAAAATTGTTAGCATCTAACCAATGACAAGTGTAACCAAAAAACGATTTTTTCCCGCCTGACCACACGTCAGCTGTTGTACATACGTATTAAATTTTCTGAAAGTCAACAGAAAGTTTTTCAGCATATTTATTTTGGCTCTCTAAAAGTAACCTAGAAATTGTGCTTTTTGTTACTTTTGCCAGGAAATAATCGTTTAAAACTTTGCTCTTCGACAATGGATAGAGGAGATGCAGTTTCACAAATAAAATTCAAAATATCGCGGCTAAAAGAACATTTACGGCCTGCATTAAGTCTTTTCTCTTCCTTTTTTAATTTGAAGGTATTGAATTTTTCAAATGTTTTATAAAATTGGAGCTCACACGCAAAGATCCTTTTACTTTTTTCCCGCAAACTTGGCACACAGCAATTAAACCACACATTTTTTTTGATGAGGAGTTCTATTCATCTACATTTAAAAATGAAAGGAAATGTAGTAATTGTATATAACATGTACATTATAGTTACAACATTTTACAACCTAGAGCACTTTTTTTCGTTATATTTTAATCGGTCATTGTTGGGAACATTTAAACATTTGTACATAGGTCTTCTCTATTGTTGTATAAGAAATATATAACGGATCTTCTATTACAATGACCTACCTAATCACTACCATTGAAAATCTTAAAAAAAATAGAGAAAAATAGATCAATTAAATATACAAATTTTCACATTTGTCTATCAATTAAAAATAATAATTTTCTAGAGCCGTACTTTTAAAGTCCAATTAAAATATGCACCATGAACATTTATATCATGGATAAAATAGCTTTATCATGTTTTAAATATTTTTTAAAATCCCATCATTTTTACCCTTAAATTAATCTTGAAAAATAAAAAAATACTGAAAAAATACAGAACAATAAATTTGAAAAATTTTAATAAAAAATCGGGTAAAAGTTGAAAAAACAAGAATTTAAAAAAAAGAAAATTTTAAAACAAAATGTGTGAATTTTTTGAAAATAAAAGTAAAAAAGTTTCCTCGGTTGAGATTTGAACCTGGCTACACAGTGGTTTTTAATGTTTCCTAGTCTAGCAGCTTACTCTATGCTCCATTAATATCCTGATTTACTTTTGCGAATATTTTTTACATAAAAATATAAATCAATGTTATTTTGGAAAAAATAATTCAAACTTTTTTGTAGCACTTTCGGAAAAAAAATAATTTTAACAAATGTATTTTGTTTTAAAAGTGTTAATACCTAGCTTCTTAAAATTAAATAACATTTTGAATGTGTATAAAAATTAATGAAAATACATATGTTTGTGCTTTAGTTGGCTTTGTTAAAATAATTATATTTAAATAGAATTTTATTAACTCCAATTAATTCACTTGCATACACATCTTGTATACTTGGAGTTTCACTTAAGTCATTTTGTTCACGACTTGGTGGGCTTTCTTCACAAGTAAAATCTGGATCTTTTACTGAATCATCACTATCAAAATCTGACAAATCACTCATTTCTTTTTTTACACTTGCAATTGAACACTTCAAGTAGACTTTTGAATGTGATTCAAGAATATTTTTGTAACGTTTAACGTTTGTAAGTAATGTCTAAAAAATCTAAATTAACCCTTTCACGCACAAAATTAAACCGCTGGAATTTTTATGGCTATGAGTTCATTACACGCTTTATTTCTGCGTATATTGATAATTTTTTATGAAAAATGGAATAAGTGTTTTCGAAGGATATCGCAGGATATTATCTTTTTTGGCTGACAGTGCCATGAAATTCTTAAAAATAAATAAGTTTTCTTTGGAAATAACCATTTACTCTATCTGTGAACTCAAAATTACGCTCTACACACACAGATATCCGCATACGTGAAAGATTTAATAAAAAATTTAAGTAACAGTTATTTTTTGTCAATTAGCCGGCCAAATTTATTAATTATTATCAAATACGGAAATTAAATTGTTAAATATATGTATTTATAAATTATATACGTAAAGTCAAATATCTATGCAGTGGTGTTGTGGGTAAAACATTGGGTTAAAAGATTGACGTCGCTGGTTCGAATCCTGGACGTGTTAACTATTTTTTATAATTTATTTTTTAAAATCTATTTTAAATTTAAAACATTTTATATCCCTAACACAAACATCATTAAATATATTTACAAATTATATACGTAAAGTCAAATATCTATGCAGTGGTGCTGTGGGTAAAACATTGGGCTAAAAGATTGACGTCGCTGGTTCGAATCCTGGACGTGTTAACTATTTTTTATAATTTATTTTTTGAAATCTATTTTAAATTTAAAACATTTTATATCCCTAACACAAACATCAGTAATGGCAATTTAGCACTTTTTGTAGCAAAAAAAAATAATAAGTTTCATTTAAACCAATTTTCATTTTCTTCTCTTTTTTTAAAAATACAAACCAAAAGTAATACCTATTAATTTTTTATGTCGAAAGAAAATTAAAAATATAAAAAGCATTAACTATTTACTAACTAGTACTTAAGAACGCATAACTAAATAAATAAGGAGGTTGTGAGTAGAACGGCGACCAGCAATCGTGAGTTCTTCGGTTCAAACCCAGTGGGCTACGGCTTTAGTTAAATATTTCTACTAATAACATATTACCGGTAATGCATAATGGATTTCAATATATTGATACTGATTTTTTCAGTATTCAGAAAAAATTTACTGAATACTGAATTTTTTTTTCATTAATCAGTAAAAATTACTGCTTACTGATTTTTTTTTCAGTATTCAGTAAAAATTTACTGAATACTGATTTTTTTTTCAGTATTCAGTAAAAATTTACTTATTACTGATTTTTTTTTCAGTAATCAGTAAAACTTCACTGAATACTGAAAATTTTTTCAGTAATCAGTAAAATTCTATTTTTACTGCATTTTTACTGGTACTGCAAAGTGCCCATCTATGATATCTATATATACATATACCCCTACTATAGCTGATATAGTTTATTATTTGAAAATAAAACAAAAAGAAAAGTAATTTTTCTAAATTATAAGTATGTATGTATTTTTAAAGCTCATAACAATTCATTAAGCAAATGTTCTAAGTATAATTAAGTAAATTTAACCTATGCAAAGTATTCACAGTTACTTAAAGTAATTAAACATGTATTTCAATTTTAACTTGAGTATGTATTATAAATTGTACATAAATACAAACATTCGAATGACTTAAATATGTACATTATCTAAATTTTTTTGTTAAAGTAATAAAAAATTAAAAGAAATAGGTGTATGATTCATTTAAATTACATAAAAATCTTTATAAATAATTTACTACAGATTAGTGCTAATATTAGTTTAAACCAAGAAGTCTTTTGAACGCTCGTCTATAATCAAGATTAAATATTGTATAGATAATTGGATTTAATACAGAGTTAATGTAGCCCAGCCAAGTTATGAAGTTTTTAAATTTAGTTGTTGGACAACAGGTCGAGCAAAATGGTAGTATGACGTACATCAGAAAAAACGGTAGCCAACAGATGACAAATACGCCCATTATGATGCCTAACGTTCGGGCAGCTCTTCGCTCTTTGGAGAGTGAAATTTTTTGCTTTTCTTCTATGAATTGATAAACACCACCTGGTTTTTTCTGCAGCGGCGCAGCTTGCGATGAAGCAGCTCCAATTGATGACTGTGGTGGAGTGATTTTTAGTGACACATTTTCTTCATCGTTATCACCAGCTGATATTTCATTGGCAGTTCCTCCACTTCCGCATACTTGCATGCAGCCTTTAGGATCGCTGCCACTCTCGGTGGAAATTTCAGGATTTTCTATATCTACATTTTTTGTTTGAGGTGATAAAAGTCGGCTTTCAGCACCACTGCCGCAAATATCTTTTACATTAGTGGGATCCAGCTCAGTGCTTTTACTCAGTTGATTTTTTCGTGCTTTGGATTTTCCATGTTTGATGGAATCTTTGATTTTAGCTCGTCGTGTCTTTTTTCGTTGTGTTACGACTACAACTCTATGCTCGGACATTTGAGCGCGTGAATTTTCGTTGTTTACGTGAGTTTCACTACTAATCGACTCCTGGTCGTTTTGTATCATTGGCGTGGACGAAAAGTGAGAGGAGTTGCGGCAGCAGCATAGAACACTATAGCATAGTGTAAAAACGGCCCCAGTTCTAGAACCGTCACCATCTGAATTTAGTGCGGTAGTGGCTACGTCTGCACTAGCTGAACGTGTCGCAATAGTATTTATTTTGGCCGCCTGGGCACGTTCGCGTAGACGACGTCTGGTTGCAATAAATATTTCAATATACACTGTTGCCATTATAATTAAGGGAATGAAGAATGAACCCAGTGAGGAATATATCACATAACCCGGATCTGAGTTGAGTTCACACGGTGTTGCACTGGTGAACTCTTCCGGCCAATCGTTCCAGCCCACCAGGGGCGGAGAACTAATGAGCAACGATAATATCCATACGCCGGCAATTAACAACAGCACTCTACCGACAGTACGTTTTTGAGCATAATTAATTGGATCCGTTATGGCCCAATAGCGATCCAAAGCAATGGCGCATAGATTTAAAATGGAAGATGTACAACACATAACGTCGCATGTTAGCCACATTTTGCACAGGTAAATTCCAAATTCCCAGCGTCCTAATATCGAGTAGGCTACATTGAATGGCAGCACAAGCAGAGCAACTGTCAAATCTGCCACTGCCAGAGAAACAATAAAGAAGTTCTGAACAATGCGTAGTGGCTTGTAGGTAAACACACTTAATATCACCAATATGTTGCCAATAATTGTCAGAACAATTATAATAGATAATATGATAGCAGTCAGAATGGCTTCCCATTCGGGTACAGCAAGTTTAACTCCAAAATAACTCTCATGCCATTCTTCGCTTGGTACAATACAACCGCCATCCAGTAAGGATATTGGATCAAGAGTTACATTACTAACACTGACAATGCCAATAATGTCGCTTGTATTCGCTAAAGATGTTGTTGTTGTTCCAATGCCGTAGTGCATAATGGAAGAGGTGGCATCGGTGTTGGTAGCGTTGTTCCTGGTCAGTGTGCGTACAAAATATGCTGATGAGTTTGTGGCTGTGGTTGAGTTCATTAACAGCATCTGATCTGCAGGTGGCATTTTGCATTTTGTATCACAGCTTTTGGATGGGAGTATTTAATTTAGTGCAGCAGCGACAAATGATGACATAAGATGCAGTCTACAATTAAACAAAAATTCAAAATCAGAATTTGTTACCAAACTAACTAATAGAAAATTTACACTACTAATTCTAAAATTTTGAAATAATTTGTCCATTCTCACAGCATTGCAGTGGGAAATTAAAAGTTTTACAGTTTTATGTAGTATAATATCTTAACTCTTATTCTCTATCTCAAATTAGAACAGATATGACGTTATTTTTTCTTTCTCCCGAAAAAAGTTTTGGAATGACATTTTTCATATTATTTGGACAATGGAGATAAAAGGAAAAAACGCCGTCTTTAGAACCACTAATATATGCATGTACATTAGGGTGTCCCCAAAATGGAAGTTGTTGATGTTCCCACCGAAAAGGAAATTTAGTTCATTTCTCAAAATTTTTGTACTAACGCCAATATTTGGTGAGCCATATTATAGGATAAAAAGGTCCTTTTTTAAGGTTTTCATGATTTTTTTTTACATTTCTGGCAAATAAACCATAAGCAAATTTAGTAATATATGAAAGGTCTTTCTTATGATATCAAAATTTTATATCTTTCCTTTGAAAGAAATATGAAAAAATCATAAAAACCTCAAAAAGAACCCTTTTGTCCTTTGATCCTGTTTGATCCAGCTCACCAAACGCTATCTTTTAATGAATTAATTAAACTTTAATTTTAGCTGGGAACATCGACACCTTTTTTTCCTCCATACAAACAGGCCACACTAATGTACATGTGTTCATATATAGGATATGTAAAAGTATTAAAACATAAAATAACTTTTTAAGTCGATTAATTAGTCCTGTTCATGAAATCCTGTGCAAAAAATGGTTTTAAAGTCTACAATTGAGTTATGTTGGATCATCATTAACTTAGATATAAGTGACATTTATGTAATCCTAATTTAAATTTATGATTAGTGTAATAATTACGCGGAACTTGGCACAAGAACGCATCCACACATTACAATGTAAAGTATTATGAAATTGTGCTCACAATTTTGGGCTCATTAATATCGTAATATAATAGGGCATACACCGATGGTTTTAAGTGATAAATAAATTCCAGAAACTGTTTCCTTAAACTGCATGGTTTGTTCCTTGCATGTACGAACAACAATTATTATACAGAAATATGTATGTACATAGAAAAGGGATGAGTGTGGGGTTGTGAATTTTTGTAATAAGAATTGATCAGTTGACCAAATAATAATTTCAAATTACATAATTTTAAACGTGAATTACGAATAGTTGTGTCATAAAATTATAATATTGGATACCTTAAAATACTATTGAAGAAAACGAACATGAAAAGAATCGATACAAATTTTATGATTTCGTGTCCAAAGTATTAATGCTTAATAACAAATATTAATGTTAGAAATTTATAATCTGTTAAGAGATTTTTATTCTTTTGTAGGGATAGTTTATATAATTTTAGTTAAAGCTAATTTATTTTTCAAAATTAAGCTATAGCTTAGCTTAATTTTGAACATAAATTATAAAATCAATTTGTCTCTACTATAGTCGTCCTCAATTCTCTCGCGTACGACAGCAGCAGACATTTGTCGTCTTCAGTCACATAAAGAACATACACAACCATCGATAGTTTCAACTATCTAATCTAAACAAGAATGTACATGTTAACCTGGTGAAACGTTAACAGTCACCTTGTAGAACAGGACTTTAATAACAAAGAAATGCATTGTTTCTGTTTTGCTTTTATACCCACTACAAAAAGACGAGTAATATAATGATTTTGACATTCCATTTGTAACAAATTGAAAGAATGTTAGTAAATATTTTAGCACGGATCTTGGCTTTAACACATAATAACGAGTAAATACTATTCGACACAGCCGAATATTAATATTTTACTTGTACTTTTGTTTTATGATTAAAGCAGATTTGAAGCTGTTGTGGTGTGTAGGTTCTGTTGTTCTGCTGTCATTGTTGGTTGAATAAGGATGCATGTTTATTACATAAACATACATACACTAAACCTGCCCTTAAAAAATATGTGCTTTTATTGAGTTTTAACTTTTTATTGGTATTTAAATCTAATTAATGAAGGCAATTAGGGCGATTAAATCTAAGACCGAATTGGATTTACGAAAGTTTTAACCGAATACTCTCCCAAAACTAAGGTTTACATAATTTATGTACCAGGCCGCTCGGGAGTAGTCGAAAAAGAAAGAGCGAATGTACTAGCTTTAAAGGGAAAGGAGTCTGAGGTAGTTAATCTGACGAACGCAAAACCATTCGACACAGCGGGCTGAATTAAAAGTAAGGGCGATAGAATCCCACAAGACATCTTGGTGTAATGAAACGAACCAAAATATATCCTATAAGTTGTGGGAGAACAATTATATTCCACTTCACAAAACTTTATTATTTATACTTTGTTGTTTAAATTGTTTTCAATCATATTGTCTTCGAATTTTAAATTGTAAAATATTTTGTATGAAAAATATTTTATTCATTCTCTATCAAACCTTCGTTTAATAAATATACATTTGTTTTATAAGTTACATCGTTAAATTATTGCGGACCTCTAATAGGTTATGGGCTTATGTGCAATGGATTTAATGAAGACTTCTTCTGCTAAATTGAATGCAGACAATTACCATCTATGGAAATTTAAACTGGAATTGTTGTTGCGCAAGGAAGGTTTGTGGAATCATGTGATCGATAGTGTTCCTGCGATGCCTGATGACGTTTGGAAACGTAAGAATGAAGAAGCTACCGTGATAATTTGATTGTCCTTTGAAGATAATCAGTTAATTTTGATCAAAAAGGCTAAAAGCGCCCATGAGGTATGGGTGATTTTGCGTAATCATCACGAAAAAGATACACTTGGAACTAGTGAACGTTTAATGAAGCAGATTTGTAGAATGAAGTATTCCCCAGATACGAATATCTCGGATCATGTAATGAATATGAAGTTGTTGTTTGAAAAATTGGAAGCTGTTGGTGAAACATTTTCTGAACGCTGGTTATTGGCTATGTTGCTAAGTAGCCTACCGTCTTCATATGATACACTCGTAACTGCTTTGGAAGCAAGAACTTACTTTAAATGTGGTCGAAACCTGTTTAATTGAAGAAAGTCACAGAAATTCTTCACAGATGCCTGAAAATTCGGTGTTAAAAAGTTCAAATTCAAAAAGTGACCATAGCATCAAAATTTGTCATTTCTGTAAGGCAAACAGTCATATAAAGCGTGACTGTTGGAAGTTTAAGAAGACTACGCATAATAAAGCTAACGAGGTAACAGCATCAAGAAGCAGCTCAAACAATTTTTGTTTTTCCCTATGCAATGGTTCTCAATCGTGGGTCCTTGATTCTGGAGCAACTTGCCATATATGCTCAGATCGTTCATGCTTTTCTACATTGGACTTCAATTGTCATGAAGAAGTAACAGTAGCAAACGGCCAAATCGTAGTAAGTAGCGGTAAGGACATATATGATGTGTTATATATTCCGTCGTTTTGGGGAAATCTGATGTTTGTCAACAAAATTTTGAGTAAAAATTTTAAAGTCAATTTCAAGGCTAATCGTGGTGTTATTAGTACAAGTGATGGCAAAGAAATCGGCATAGCTGTTCTATCAAATAAACTGTATAAATTGCAGCTAAATGAATATAAGCAATCCGATGCTGATCCATGTTTATACATAAAATACACCAACGAGGAAGGGCTAGTCTATATTTTGGTATACGTTGATGATATTTTGGTTGCTAGCCAAAAGGAAAAGCCTATTCGAGATGTTGAAAAATTATTATCCCAAAAATTTTAAATAAATTGTCTCGGAAAAGCAAGTCATATTATTTGGGAATCGAAATATTTCAAGATATGAACTCAAATTAGGAATTTGAAAGCTGAATCTGAAAATTTGCTAAATAACGATCAATATCAAAAGCTGACTGGTTCGCTGTTATACCTAAGCGTGTCAATACTTGCTCGTAAAGTTAGTTGTCCTACTCAGGAAGATTGGACAGAATTAAAAAGAGTTCTTAAGTATTTATGGGCACTCAAGAGTATTTTTTGTGAATGAGTTGTCAACATGTTAACCCAGAGATATTAACATGATATGCAGACGCAAATTGGACTGAAGATAGGCTATATAGAAAATCTAACTCTGGTTATATTTTTCAGATAAATGGCGGTACAATAAGTTGGTCGTGCCGAAAGCAAACACTTGTCGCCCAGATAAAACAGCTGTTAGATGACATACATATACCACAAAATGCATATACCACAAAAATTCTCAAAATGAGTAGTTTGAGGTTAGTATGATGGTGCATATTCTGAGTAACACACAGGACAACGGTCACAGCTTCTATACAAAAATTGGATGGAAACTTTTTTTTTGCCATTGTCAAAATTAGATCCAAATATCTTGGGAGTGATATTAATTCGGATATAACATCCCTCACGAACGCTGATTGTAAAATTCTTAGGAATTACGTCCAGGAAACTAAAAATTATAACATGATCTCTGTAAATATAGTTATTCGTTAATGCTTATGTATGCTTTTTGATTTGTGTATATCTACTGATTACATGTATTCTACGATAGCTTAAATATCAATTATATTGTGTAAGAGAAAATTTGTAAAAACTGACAAAAATTAAATTTAACTTCAGTAATCGATATTAATATGTATGGAAAATTCATGCTAAGGGTGCAGAATTATACGATTTCAATGAAATTTACCAATTTATTGTGTCGGTATTCATCAAACTATGGAGTTTTTATAGAAGGTTTATATGTCCAAAAATAAACGTTTACATTTATGTACATGTACACCATTTTATAAAAAAATCTTATTGTGACGAATCACAAACTATTTGTGATGCGTCGTGTTTTCAGAAGACCAATATGGCTAGATCCTCTTAGAATCTTATAAGATCCCAGAATATACATATGTATGTATAAAATGAATGGTAATAAAATTATTATATTTATAAACAATTAAGTACAAGTTCAAGTACAAATGGGGCTCATATATTCTCTGC